ATAATTATTATTCCTTTAACTGACCTTTACTACAGTTAGAAACAGGACCTTAACTGACCCTTCATAGAAATTCAGATTCAGTGTATTGGCAGAAATCTTATTGAAGACAACAAGAATGGGAGTGGTGCAGGAGCGGGAGTCATTCTGAATGGGAGTGGGAGTAATTTCACCAGGAGTGGGACGGGACAGGATTTCGATTTCTACTCTGGTCCGGGATCGGGACACCATTTTTTTCTGTGGGAGTGGGACGGGACAGGAGTGAAAAACCAGTGTCTCTAATGCACATTGAAACTGGAAACCAGCTCAATCCCTCAGTAATGGGAGCCGTTTTGGTCTTTTTTGGCCTGCAACACCTGATACTGGCCCATTCCTCTGAAAAGGCAGTCGTTACGGGTCATTATTGGGCTGGCTGACCTGGCGCGACATGTTAATCCCCTGCATAACAACGGGGTTGAGATGGTACTGGGGAGTAATCAACTTTGTTCCTGTTTGGCTGTGACTCCATCCTGGAGAGAAATATCAGCTGTGCTGCTGCCATCAACACCTTTGTTTCTAGATGTTGGAGCTTGGCCTGTTTTCCAGTGTAGTCCTGTTTCTCTGACTGTGACTAACTGGATGTGCTCTCTTCATCCTCTGACATGGGAGCTGGCTCGGAGCTCGTCTGCCTGGCTGTGTGTTTCCTGGACGGGGCCGCCTGTGGAGCTGGTTGACAGTTGCCTTTTGTATCTATGCTTCTTTTTCTATGTCTGCTTCTGTCTCCTTGAACCCCAGTGGGCCTCAGCAGATGGCCGCTCACACTGAGCCTGGTTCTGCTGGAGGTTTCTTCCTGTTCAAAGGGAGTTTTTCCTCTCCACTGTCGCTACAAGCATGCTTAGTGTGAGGGATTGCTGAAGAGTCAATGAGTCGATGCAATCAGCTGGTTTTCCTTAGATAGAAAACTTTGTATCAATTTGACTGTATGATCTGGTTGAACTGGAAAGTGCCTTGAGATGACATGTGTTGTGAATTTGGCGCTATAGAAATAAACTTAATTGAAATTGAAATGTATCGTTTTTGAGAGCTGAAGTCCACCTTCACTGTTTAACGTTGTTTTTTTTCTTTTAACATAAATGGCTTCCTTCACGCCACTTTCAAACCACCTCTCTTCTTTATCTAAAATGTGAACATTCTGGTCCTTAATCGAATGACTGAGAATCTCCATTTTCCTAAAGTGGGATTGTATTGCAAATGCAATTAATTGCCCGGCCCTACACAGAATTATCAATTTGCAAAACAGTTGTTAGTTTCAGCCCTAAAGTTAATTCCTCATGCAGGTTAATGTAGTCTATAATAATCTGTGATCTAAATCAAATTAAACTGCAATACAGTAAATGTGAACATTTCTGACCAACGTTCTCTATCACACCACCATCTGGTGAATTATTTACTCTAAAGGCCAAAACACTCCAGATTTCTTTTTGACAGACGCTCTGTCAGAATTAACGATTAGTGCACTGTGAAGTGAATAGGGCTGGCAGACGGTTTCCAGGGAACTACAGAGCACTTTGACAGGAACGCAACGAGTCACAGAGCAGGACAGAGTCAAACACAATGAGAAAACGCAAATTAAAAGAACTGAATTACAAAGTAAACTGGCCTGGTTGGTCCCCACATAGCTCCGTCACACAGCTTTGTGCAGATATACAAGCAGCAGGTCCCCCCCCCCCCCCCAGGAACCTGTTGCTTTTTATTTGTTCTCCCCTTCAGCTTCTGTCATTACAAGCTTTAAAATAGATGCTAACTACTTGACTGACTCTTAACTTTGCTTTTTATTTCAAACCGGAGCTCATTAGAGCCATTATTAGACATTAGGCTCGACAAGTTTTCTTAGCATTTTGTTTTTGTGCCTTTTCCTCCAGAGATTTTAACACATACCTGCTAAAAACACCGTGACCTAATTTCTTTCATCTTATCAACCTGTAGGAGCTTTTGTTTTCCTGCCATTATCGCCTTTTCACAAGTGAGCGGTAACATAAATGCATTTAATGGCACAGATTCACATTTACCAGCCGTGAGACATAACCTTAGCATAAACTGCTCTTTAACTCCCCCAAGCTGTTGTTCCTAAGCTGCAAAAGAAGCCCACTATCTGCTCCAAGGTTAGGTAACAACACTTTAGTTTGGTTTTTAAAGGAAAAGTCCGGCCAGCAAGGAATAACCAATGGATTATTATTTATACCTAAAACTTAAAACTAGTGTTAATCAGTAAAAAATTAAAAACAATAATTTTTGTCACAATAACTAAGTCCGGGAGCGGCCATTTTTGCCCAAATAGTAAAGGGCTGGTTATCCTCCTGCAGCAGTGTGTCGCTGTGAGCTTGTCGCAGATATTCTTGATTTATACCGAATATTGAAGCATTTGTCTGCGCTGTTATTCCACGCCACAATGCAAGAGGAACTAGCGGTGGGTCTAGATACGGCCGAGGCGGTGAGGAAATGGAGGCAAGTTTGTCCGACAACGGAGGGACATGAGGGTGAAAAAGAGCGGGGTGGAAAAAGGGTCCCAGCGTTCTTGTGCACCTCGCTCTGCTAGCTGTTCTATCTTTATGAGTCGTTTTCCACAATGCTGGTCATACAAACAGAAAATATGCATGAGTAGAGCGGATGTAGAATTGACCAATCAGAGGTCTGCGGTGACCTACAATTTTGGAGAGATGCAGCAGAGTGTCTGTAGAAGGGGCGGGGCATATCTGTGTTCACTGTGACACACACGCAGACGACCTAGTTTGTGAGTATAAACCAGCCCTAAACACCCTACTGCTGCCATCTTCCAGCAGTGATGTCACGGTGTGGTAAGCCTAGCGCCATTCTCCTAGCCTGACGTAGTCCGACTCAATTCTAGTCAGAATGAGTCTGATGCTGCTCCATAGAGCTGTGATTATGGGGCGTGTTTCGAACGAACCAGGAAAAAAATGCCTCTGCACTCAATCGGATAGACCTACAACCAATAAGAGCAACGGAGTGTTAAGCCACGCATAGTTGTTGTCAACAAAAATCAAAGCGTGCAGTTGCACGCCTAGAATAAGAAGATGAGCCTTGATCGCGTTTCTCTGTTCCTCTTTTAAAATTAATTTGCTGTCGATATCTTCTAGAACAGACCTAATAGCAGAATCTACTCACCTCAACTCTCCAGCGGCAGCCATTGTTGTTGTCACCCAAGCGCGCTTTGGTGACGTCGTTCATTACGTTACTGTTGATCATCTGTCCATCATCGTATAAAGCCCGCCCTGACAATTTGATTGGATCGCCAGAGGGTGGGCGATCATACTCGCGCTACTATTGAGCAATGCCAGACCGAACTTCCTGACCTCAAAGGTTGTGGGCGGGACTAAGTTCGGAATGGCACCCAGGCTACCATTCTCCCCGCTTTCCAAGCTAAATCAATGGGAACTACTAGACACATCTGCAATCAACAACAATTATTGAAGATTTCCAGAGGACTTCACCATTGAAATTCACCAGAGCTATAGTGAAACTGACAATGCCCACGTGCATGGCAGCCGGATGCTGGAATACATCGGGTGAAAGTGAAAAAAAAAAAGAGTTATTCCACCTTTCTGATTCCTGATCCTCCACGGACGGGTTGGTCGTTGGATCGCCAACTTGAAGAGGGAGGATTTGCACTCGAACTTCTGGCCAGAGAAAAAACCCGTAATATGTAGCCAACATTTGGAAGAAGAATGTTTTCAAGATGACTTGGATAATAGCGCGTTGTGACAAAAACCAGATACAGCACTGGGACTTGATCAACAGCCGATACCGCAGTTTGACGTCACAATCATCGTATAATGGGAGATCAGACTTTCTCTTCAGCTGCTCCCAGGCTGTGGAACGCTCTCCCCACAGACTGAAGACGCTTTTATACGTAGCCTTAAAACACACCTTTTTAGGAGAGTTTTTAATTGAACTCTTCCCCCTTTTTTTTTTATTGTCTTTGATTATTTTATCTTTTCATTTTATTTCTCATGCTCTCCATGTATTTTTATTTAGCACTGACCTGTTTTACTATGTAGCACTTTGGGATTTGTTTAAATATAAAGTGCATTACAAGTTCAAAGTATTATTATTAGTAGGGATGCACGATATTGGGATTTTGGCTGATATCCGATATGCCGATATTTTAAAACTCATGTAGCTGATAACCGATATCGATACCGATGTTAAAGCTGGACAAAAATAAGTAGTCATTGAAAATAGCAGTTTTGTTATCCATTTCTGACACTTTGAAAAATAATAAACTCAAATATATTTTCATATGCTGATATCAAATTGATTTTTAAAAACGCGGTATCGATCTATTTTACTTTCAAAATCTGGTGAAATTTCATCGTTCTGTTACAAACTCGTGATATTTTGCAAATTCTTGTGAGATTTTGTTAGTAAAATAGATCGATACCGCGTCAATATATCAACATATAAAAATATGGCAACATTTGGTGAATTTTCGGGGGATTTCGTAGCATAACGATGACATATAGCAATATTTCATTAGTAAAAGAGATTGATATGGTGTTTTTAAATGGCAATATATCAGCATATGAAGATATTGGTATATTTTAATGGATCAATATTTTTTCCCTCGTCTTTAGAAGTTTTTAAGTCTGTAAAAAAGAAGTTTTTGAGGAAGAAGAAGAAGAAGTTTTTTTTTTTTTTTTTTTAGACTTTAGAAACTCAGAAGCTGATCAAATATCGGGTTAAATATCGGAGGGGTGGCCGATGTCCGATATTCAGTTTTAAGGCCGATACCGATAGGGGGCCGATTATATCGTGCATCCCTAATTATATTATCAATTCATATTTAAAGTATTTTCAGAAGTTTAAATTCTCAATATGATCGGACTTTTCCTTTAATAAGTACTTGTTTAAAAGCAAGATTTTATGGATATCTAAAACTCAATTTTAGTGTGGGCGAATTTCCATCACTGGTCTTCACTGTGAACCACACTTTTGACCTTGCCTACCTGTCGGAAGCGCTTTAGGTGGAGGATGAGGATGTCAGGCAGCGTCCACAGACTCATCTTCACCATGCCCTGCTGCAGCTGCTTGCAGTGGGGACACTTCCAGGCATCATCCGGAGCAAGCTGGATACAACAGGAGCAACAGAATCAGAAATGATAAAATCTCCATGACTAGAGGTTCACATTTGGTTTATTTACGTTGCAGTTTAACCTGTTGAACATTTGTTAGCAGTTTGACTCCCAAAGAGCAAGTCCTGCTTCTCTGAATCCAGGAAAAAAAGGGTTTTCCTGCATGAAGTTTGCATTTTCTAAAATATGATAGGTTTTATATACGTTCACCTGCTTCCTCCTTAAAATCTAAAACCAGCCATGTTTAGGCATCATGTAAGGCGTTAGCAGGAGGGGATTTACCATTAGAAAATACAAGGCCGTTACCTAGGGCACCTAGTTCCTGGGGGGCCCATAAATACAACTATTCCTTATTTGTTCACATTAAGGATCAGGATTTATTTTGCGATAATAACCTATTGAGCCTACTGGCATAATCTTAAGCCATTCTATGGGACCAATAATCGTTAATAATGATCATGAATTGGGATGATAACATCAAAAGCCGCCGCAATTTTCCACCTGATTGATTCTCTTAAAGTTTTCCTTACAAAAAATGAAGATGACACATTGCTGTGCATCATTTCCACAGGGCATAACAGCAATATGGGAAAAGGTGTGCGAGCAACAAAATGAAAAGGATAAGTGTGAAACCATCAGCCGCTCTATTTCTAACATACGACTCTGAAACAGGAAAAACATCTCGATTCTGATGTTTGTTTTACACCTAGATCTAGAGCTTCCGTTCTGTTTCAGCTGCTGTTTATTGGTTAAGCCTTCAGCGCTCCAACACCAGATGTTGCTACAGTAACAGCAGCCTTGTTTTCTAACACTAGGCTCCCCTCACAAATAAAAACATGCAGTATCTGGAAAATAAGCGTATTTTTCTAACACTCATCCAGGGTTAAAAAAATCCAATTAGACAGAAGAAAGGAAAAGCCCATGTTTCATTCCAGTCTCATGTCAGAGGCCAAGTCCCACTGTAGCAAGCTGCATGTTTAAGTGCTCAACAGACCAGCCGCCTGTTACTCAGGGGCAGTAATCACACTATGAGCACTTGTTGCATTCTGATTGGAAGAAAATGTTCAATATTTTTATGCTAATCCAAAATGAGCATCAGTCCACTTTCATAGAGATCTATATCGGTTATACAAAAATACACTAATTACCCCCATTAAAAGATAAAAAAAACAACATATATATAAACTAACATGTAATCAGTCTTTGGATAATAAAAGAGCAAATGTGATTAGTGAAAAAGATATCAAAACGTCTAAAACTGCATGATTAATAACTCTGGTGGAACGTGTTTTTCATACAAAGTCTTCAGTGTAAAAAAAAAAAAAGAAAATAGCATGTTTATCCATTTATAGAAATGGCCCAAAAACAGTCACATGGTGGTTCATCCACACACCTTTTAAAAGGGGGCTTTAATATTTCTAAAACAAGTTTTAAAATTATTTTTTTCAAAATTACTTTTTGTTTTATAGCTGTGTAAACAAATAAAATGAGATTTAAAATTCAACCTGACATGTCTGACTCTGCGGGAGTAATGCAACAACAGGTATGCATTTTTAGCTTCATTGAAACTAGAGCCTCAGACCTTTCCAATGAGGGGTCGGAGGTCATTGTGCGACCATTTCAGGTGATGTAACCGACATGCATTCCATAAGCTTGCTCTGTTATTCTTATTTTCTATTCAGTTTGGTGATTTTATTGGTAAATTTCAATGAAACATTTATTCAATCTTAGGAGCAAAGGCTTTGCCTCATGCAGAAGGTCTCCAATAAAGTAAATCAGCGTATTTGTCTGACCAGACTCACTTTTATGAGCGGAAAAATGCATTTTTGCACTTTTGGCACTGTGCCAAAATCCCATTTCCTCCTCGCACACTGCCCACTAAAACCTTTGTGAAACAAACATGTTTCAACTTATTCAGTCCTGATCAGCTTGAGTTTTAGTCAAGATGTGGATCTATAAAGTCTGAGGGTTCATCTAGAGTTTCAAATGGGGTTTTGCAGTGTTTATTTTGGATAAAAATTTGGCGAGGTTAAATATTTCTTTGTTGTTTTTGTTTGTTTAATCACCTAGAAATCAGAAATGGTGACATTTAAAATAGTGGTTCCACCTGAAAAATATTCATCAATGCATTTCTGTCACAAAAATACAAAAAATTGTATTTCCAATTTATAGTTTGGGAGCTGAACTTGCTTTAATTCCCATCTGGAATTTCAGGCGGAATTTGATCCTAAGACCATCTGGGCTTAAGGCTATGCAAATCTACTTAATTTAATACATTAGATAACCATTAACCAGATGACTGGAAAAACATCAAACTTTACTCAAAAAATATGACTTAAGATGATTCACAGGGAACATGACTTAAAAATGCATTAATTTTAAAATGCTTAACTATACAGATAAAAATATATCCCAAAAAGTTTTCTTTTTATGGATTTATCTTGATAAAACAAAAAACAAAAAATATATAAACTAACATGTAAAAAGTCTTTGGATATTAAAACAGCAAATCAGATTAGAAGATGCCAAAACTTCTAAAACTACATTATTTGCAACTCGTGTGGTATGTGCATTTCATACAAAGTCTTCACTGCAAAAAGATGCAGTAATTAATAAATCAAAAGACTGTTAAATAACAGTTTAAGACTATGAAATCTTAAATGGGAATGTACTTTATTTAATACATGAAATAACTGTTAACAAGATGGCTGGAAATACGTCACACTTTACTCAGATAAATATAAAACTCACAGCGATTCGCAGTGAAAATGATATACAAAAATGCATTTATTTTAAAATGCAGATAAATTTGTATTTGTAAATGTGTACATTTTGTAAATGCAGATAAATACAGATAAAAATATCCCAAAAAGTTACTTTTTATGGAATCATCTATATAAAACGAAAGGTTAAGGAGTTCTGAACATTAGAAATTACTGGATATACTTGTAGATTGTGAATCAAGCTTTTACTTCCATTTTTATTGAATCAAAATGTTTAAGAAGTTATAGTTTACTGTTAAAATGTCAACAGCTATTTGTTGTAAAAAGCAGAAACCACCAAAAAAAAAAGTTTTAACATTATAAGAAAAAAGTAATAAAATTATGAGAATAAAGTCGTAAACTTATAAGAATAAGGTTGTATTTTAAGACAACTTCTACAAGAAGCTACGGAAAAAGAACATCCTCCTCTATACCTTTCAGCCATTGGGGTTCCGTTTTATAATACTTTGTTCATCTAGGAAAAATCCAAATGGTTTGTAAATTGAATTCTATTTTCTATTATTATTATTATTATCATTTTTTGTAATTCACTCCAGGTTGGTTGTTTTTCTCTGGAAATCCCTTTAAATCTTTTTTTTTTTTATATGCTTTTAATTTGTCACTGTTTTGATGAGAATGAAAAAAGGTCCCTCTGCCCTAGTCAAGACAGACAGACAGACAGACAGACAGACAGACAGACAGACAGACAGACAGACAGACAGACAGATAGATAGACAGACAGATAGATAGATAGATAGATAAATAGATTTTTCTGTGGTAACATCAAGGTCTTTCAATGCTTTTAGGATAAGCTTTTAAAAGACTTGATATATTTGAAGGAGTGATGCCTGCTGACCGGCACAGAGATAATGATGCCGAGCAGAGAGCCAAGGACGCCCACCGGGTCTCAGAGAGAGAGAAAATAAAGATCCCCGTTTAGCCCCATCAATCATCTTATACAAAAACTACAGGATCAAAGGGAACAAAAGGTCCAGAAAACCTTCAAAACATGAAGAACGGCTCAAAATGCTACCTGAGAATCGAACGCGACTAAATTCTCCAAAGAGAAAATGACTTTGATCATAGATTTCAGTAAAAAAAAGTTTAAATTTTTGCTTCTTTGAAATATTTATTCTGCTTTACCCAACATACAAGTATGGAATTAAGAGTCTTTATTTCCGAGTTTACCATCAGGGAAATTTTAATATTAGTGCCTTTATTACTTTTTAAAAAGAGGTCGAATCTCATCTGTTTTTTACATTATGAATAAATTGTGTATTTGGTGGAAGACTTAATTCAATTCAATTCAGTTTATTTATATAGCGCCAAATTCACAACACACGTCATCTCAAGGCACTTTACAGTTCAACCAGATCAAATTGATACAAAGTTTTCTATCCAAGGAAAACCAGTTGATTGCACTGACTCATTGACTCAAATACAATCCCCCACACTAAGCATGCTTGTAGCGACAGTGGAGAGGAAAAACTCCCTTTTAACAGGAAGAAACCTCCAGCAGAACCAGGCTCAGTGTGAGCGGCCATCTGCCGAGGCCGACTGGGGTTCAAGGAGACAGAAGCAGAGATACAAAAAGCAGCTGTAAAAGGCGGCCCCGTCCAGGAAACACACAGCCAGGCAGACGAGCTCCAAGGCAGCTCCCATGCCAGAGGACGAAGAAAGCACATCCACTCAGTCACGGTCAGAGAAACAGGACCACACTGGAAAACAGGCCGATCTCCAACATCTATAAACAAGGGTGTTGATAGAAGCAGCACAGCTGATGTTTCTTTCCAGGATGACGTCACAGCCAAACAGGAACAGACGAGGCAAAGCTACTCTGAGGAAAAGCAGAGAGAGCAGAAGGTTAGAGATTGAACTAACAGATTCTGCAGAATAGGAGAACAGAGAGAGAATGAAGCAGAATGATGAAATGGGGGTCCCTATGTCCTCCAAAAGTCTAAGCCTATAGCAGCATAACTATAGAGATAGCTCAGGATAACCTGAGCCACTCTAACTATAAGCTTTATCAAAAAGGAAAGTTTTAAGCCTAGCCTTAAAAGTAGACAGGGTGTCTGCCTCACGGACTAAAACTGGTAGTTGGTTCCACAGGAGAGGAGCCTGATAACTAAAAGATCTGCCTCCCATTCTACTTTTAGAAATTCTAGGAACCACTAGTAAACCTGCAGATTGAGAGCGAAGTGCTCTGTTAGGAACATAAGGAACAATCAGATCTCTGATATCAGATGGAGCTTGGCCATTTAAGGCTTTATATGTGAGAAGGAGGATTTTAAATTCTATTCTTGATTTAACAGGAAGCCAATGAAGAGAAGCCAGGATAGGCGAGATATGATCTCTCTTTTTCATTTTCATTAGAACTCTGGCTGCAGCATTTTGGATCAGCTGAAGGCTTTTAACTACAGTTTGTGGACTTCCTGATAGTAAAGAATTACAATAGTCCAGCCTTGAAGTAACAAATGCATGGACTAGTTTCTCAGCATCACCCCTGGACAGGATATTTCTAATTTTTGCAATGTTCCTCAGATGAAAGAAGGAAATTCTAGAAACCTCTTTGATGTGGGATTTAAATGACAGGTCCTGATCAAAAACAACACCAAGATTTTTTACTTTATTATCTGAAATCAGTTTAATCCCATCCAAATGAAGTGACTGGCTAATCAGTTTCTTTTTCAGAGACTTACTGACCCTCAGGTCCCTCTGGAGGCGGATTGCAAAGATGCTATTTTTCTTTTACTGCAGGAATCCAAAGCTTTCCCCTGATTTTCTAGTAATACTGTCCGTTCAAACACTGTCAGACTAGGAAAGTAGAGATTGCTTATTACCCAGTGATTTTTATATATTAAAAGAGATCACTCTCCTCTGTATTGTGCACGTCTTTCATTATTTCAGGGTCAAATTAAGGTTTTCAGTGGTGGCTCTCATCAGGAATATTAACCTGTAGACATGCAAATTAAAATTGAAATTTATTTTCTTTCTGCTGTATTTTCCAGATGATTATAGGGGAGCTTAAACTGAAAAGCTGGAAAATTCTTTAATGGTTTCGGAACAAAGGGGCCAATTATAGTTAATTTGACTGTTCATTAGCGGAAGTCTAAGGCCAGCCATATGTCAATTTAAAAAACTTTGTCACAGCAGTCAAATCAAGAGTTTTAATCTTTAATTTGATTTTATAGGAAGATTAAATAAACATCTAAATTTTTATTATTATATTTTGTTTTAGCAGGATTTTAAACAACATCAAAAACAAAGAAACAACTTTAGAATTAGAATTATTATGTATCTTATAGCGTATGATGCAAACACATTAAACCAACAATGCTTAAGTGCTACAAACTTCCTATGAAATAAACATCGATATTTATCAGTTTTCTATTTACACCAGAGATGGCAAAAGTACTCACTTTCCGTACTTGAGTAAAAGTACAGATACTTGTGTTAAAAAATACTCTGGTAAAAGTGGAAGTACTGATTAAACTTCTTTACTCAAGTAAAAGTAACAAAGTACAGGCTTGTAAATTTACTTAAAGTATAAAAGTAAAAGTAGAAACCACTTTTTTCATGCCGTTGCCTACATTTTAAATGGATGTCTGCCAATAGGACTAGATCTCCGTTGTGTTCATTTTCAATCATCTCGTCGTCCATGCTACTATGCTAACGCCACCGCCACCAAGCTGCAATGATTTGCCGCCAATGAATACCGCCGAATCTGTCGATTCATCTTGTAGTGGTGCGTCAAATGCAACGTAGATTCCCATCCAATTAGATTGAATTTGGTATTGATGACGTGAAAAATAATAACGGTAACTCCATTGAAATGATTCAAAACTAAAGTAACGAGACAATTTTTTAAAATGTAAGGAGTAGAAAGTACAGATATTTGTGTAAAAATGTAAGGAGTAGAAGTAAAAAGTCGCCATAAAAATAAGTAGTAAAGTAAAGTAAAAATATCAGAAAAATCTACTTGAGTACAGTAACAAAGTATTTGTACTTCGTTACTTCCCATCTCTGATTTACACCGCCATGTTTCCAAACACCCGGCTGCTTCCGCTGAGCCTCCTGAGTCCTTCCTGTATTTCCTGTTGCTCTTCAAGTGGCCATTTTTTCTTTGCCCAATTAAAGACCTTCTGTCACCTTAATGTACGAATCCTGCACTTTCACTCACTATTAGGTTGCTTTCTTTCACTTTCATGACAGCTAACGCCTTCCAAATTGTTTTCTGATCTTTAAATGAAGCAGAATCAATTTTTTTATGCACTGTTGCATTTAAAGTCGTAGGGAAGCGGCTGTTCCAACCGTTGCATTTACGAATTCTCCCGAGTGGTGCACGACTTTACACGAGTGAATAAAGTGAATGTGATTGGGTGTTTATCAAGGGGGCAGGATTGTTGTGGCGGAAGGTTCGCGAGCAAGTTTGGTTGTGGCCGGGTCCATCCCCGTGAACACTGGGACGCAACTCAATGGGAAAGGAAAGGATTCTGATTTCAACCGTTGCGTATATTAGCTGCGACACATGAATCAAGATGCTATGACCGAAACATTTGATTGACAGATGACCGTTGATATATGATTGGCCGAATTTAGGTGTTCAGGCTGACGTAGAACTAACTGGCCTGCAGAAGAGAAAGAAAAACAAAACCAGACAGGATTTTTTTTATTATAGAAATTTTAAAACTTTTTGCCATTTTAGGAATGTAAACATGTGCAAAAAATAATTTTAAAATTATGTGTAGCCAAGTTGGTGGAACACTAGTATGAGATGAGAGGAAGTGTGTTTGTTCACCGCCACAGCGCAGACGTTTTGCGGGTGATTGACAGGACGAGTCATTGAAGTTAGAGACGCATTAGAGAGAGAGAGAGAGAGAGAAAGAAAGAAGCGTCTTTTTCAAGGACCTGGTTTAGCTCCAAGGCTAGGCTAACTGCCTGCAGCAAGGCTAAGGCTTTATCCTGCTTTCCCTGCCTCCTATTTCAAACATCAGGATCTGATCCAGCATTGATAAAGACAGCTAGGACTGATTTAAAGCACTTTATAGAAAAGGCAAAGAAGAATGAACAATCTGGGATTCACATGGAAAATAACGGAATATAGTCCAGATCATGGGTCTTCAACGTTTTCCAGGACAAGGACCCCCAAACTGATGGCGAGATGGAGCGGGGACACCCTAACTATATATATTGAATGAATAGTGTTCTATCAAACTGGTCCTATGGTCACTCTATTACAGATGGAGTAATGTAACTAAAGTAATCCCTCCCTGGGATTATTAGAGCATTTCTGATTCCTGGTTGATGGGACAGGTGTTGTGAATGAAACGGTGCCCAGCTTGAAAGAGCTCCTGTGTGTCGCTGAATGGGAGCATTGATGACTGAAAGACATCTTCTGCCTCCATTTATCTGTTTACTACAGTCTGTTGAATTCATGTTAATGTGGATTTAAAGACATTTTAATTAGTGGAAAAATTGCAGGGGGGAATAAAAAAAAAAAAGAGTGTTATCAACCAAAACTTTTGCGACCCCCATGCAGTACCTCCGTGGATCCCATAGGGGTCACGGACCCGCTGTTGAAGACCTACGGTCTAGATGTTTGTTAATTTGCATGGTTGCTCTTAAATAAATACATTTCTATAGAAAAAAAATATTTTTATATATTAAAAAAATATAAAGCTGACTAACAGCTTCTCCATTATTAAACTGGTTTATTTTTTTTTTAGGTTTGTGACTCAATATTAGACAAAACACAGATTTATCTTCACAGCCTCAGAAGGACAAGATTTATGGACAGAAAGTAAACCTGGACATGAAATTTTCTTTATTTAAGTGTTTTTAGAATGTTTTTTTTTTTTGTTGGTATTCATATAAATATACTGGTGTGATAAGTATACATTTGATTGGTTTTTGATTTACGTCCATTTTGAATTTGGCTAAATTTGGTTCTGTATCGTTAGGATATTAAGCTATCTTTGTTTCTAGAGTTTTAATAAATATAAAACTAGAGCAGGTAAAAGAAGAATAGTAAACTTTGCGTAATGGCTTCTTTTGAACCCGTCTCCTAGGAAACTAAAGCAGTGGTTTGGGTTTAAAAGCAGTGAGCATCGTCTCACCTGTTCTTCTTTGGTATAGAGCTGGAAGCACTCGTCCAACGTGCAGCTATGCTGCTGCAGGTGCTGCTGCTGCTGAAGCTTCACACTCTCTGCATCTTTCACCACCTCCTCATGGATGCTGCCAAACAGACTAAAGCAAACACACTTCCTGTTGTTTGCATTCAGAAGCTAAATGCAACTCTCACCGCTTCAATCAGTGGGAGTGTTTCTGTAAAAGTGATCTGCGAGCGTTTTAGCAAACAGGCCTCAGAAACATCTCATTCAGGTTAGGACTATATGTGGCCTGAAGAAAAAGATTCTGCTTACTGTTCTTTAGAGCTGGGGTCCCACTCAATAACAAGCTTCACGTGGGGAGGTCCTCCTGGCCCACAGAACTTCAAAGCTCTACAATGTAGAAAAGTTTTCATAAACTTAGTTGACACATTCGTAATATCACACTGCAAACAAAATACATCTAAATAAGTCAGTTTTTCATAAAATAAGTGCAGTTAGTCTTAAATTGAGGAGGTGAGACACTTTACATTTAAAGTAAGAAAAAAACATTACATTTTCTTATTTCAAGTGCTTACTAATTATCTTATTTTGAGAGCAAAAATGTTAAATTCATTGGCGAATCATCTTATTTATTTACCTACTCAAATTGAGGGAAAATACAGCTAATTTAAGATTTTTTTTCCTTAACCTTTACCCTACTTTCTAGATTGTTTTTGCAGTGCATCTCCTTACAGACAACTTCTGTTATTAAATATTGACCTCAGACCAAGATAAGCTCAGTAAAAATAACAACTATGTTCAAGTTATGTTTGAGTTTATTGAAGAAAAGAAGATTTTAACCCAAGCTGTGGGAGTCAGAGTCGTTTTTTCATTTATAAACCAGAAAATTTTGCACCTATTCTGGAATTATGTGCTTGATGCCGAGATTCAGTTCTTGAACTGAAACAAAGAAGTGTTACAACTGTTTTAACTATTCCTTATTTGTGCACATTATGTTTTTGATAAAAATCCTTTGGCTAAAATGCCATCAGAACGCTGATAATATTAAGTGTGTCTCAGCCCCCCCCCCCCCTTCAGCGTCCACCATATTGGATCAGTCCATTTGCTGCACATGTTCAGAAAGGTCCAAACAGACAGCAGCAAACCATTTGAAAACAAACCATGCAAAGAGCAGTGTTGCCAACTTAGCGCTTTAGTCGCTATATTTAGCCACTTTTCAGACCCCTCTAGCACTTTGATTTCTAAAAAGCTCCTAGCGCCAAATCTAGAGACTTTTTTCTGCTACTGGAGACTTTGGAGACAACATCTAAAAGCAACGAACTCTGCTCTCCAGAGCGAGTAGATTGGTAACCCCGCCTTCTGCTCTCCTCTATCTTGTCTGCTGTCATGATTCATGCAGCTATTATTTCATCCAAATGAAAAATGGAGAACAGATAAGCAGATCATGGCTTGTCTACAGTGAAAAGAAGGACTGGGTTATTTACTTTGGCCTTTTTGGAAACACAGGAAGGAGCAATCAGCTAAGTGAGCTTAGTGCTTGGAAAAAATCTTTCATCCCTTTAGAGACAGCATGAAAAGTCAGCTGAGTACAAAACATAGAGAGGAAAACAAGAAGAAAAGGGACAAGAAGAGAGGGACACAACCTAGAACAGATAATGGATGTCTATTCTATTAACATTTCTCTATCTGTAGAATGGGGCTGTTCTATGTGTTGTCTTCTCCATTCAGAGGCCCCCCTGCCTGTCTTTGCCTAGGGACCCACATTTCGTGAATCCGCCCCTGTCTGTCTGTTATTCATCAGTAGCAGCCATCAATCACTACTAAAGAAGTAACCAAGGCAGATATTTCTATTTGCTCTCCTGCAACAAAAGCTGTACCTGCTCTCAGGAGAAGCTTTGATATCTTTTGTTTTTTATTATTTATTTAACTTTTAACTATTTAACTTTTATTCTGTCTTCAAATTTTAAAAAATACAAACAAACTATCAGGAGAGATAGAATGACATCAATCACACAAGAGACGTGCTCCGTCCTGCTGTTACGTGAGCAGACATCAGATATGGAGATCTCACAGCGGGGAGCGGCTGTTCTTGTTTTTCATTTTATTCAACTTCACAGCTCATCTTTACAGCTTTTATCTCAGGGAGGAAACTCAGCAGCATCAGTAGGCAACAGCTAAATAGGTCCGCAATGACAGGAGGATGAAGGAAGGCGACATTCCCACCATGTCATTTTGGGCTGAAAGCTGATTGTTATGAGTTATGATTGGTCGTTAACATCTTAAATATTGTTGTAAAACAGTTGTACCAAATGTGCATGCGCGAAAGCAGCATGCTGCAGTTACACCGCTCCAGTTACGTTTTGAACTTTCTTATTTTTATCTTTTTTTGATTGCTCTTAATGCACTATTTTTGCACGCCACGTATCACTTTACTTGGATTTTCACTTTATTTGGATTTAGTTTTTACAAATGCATAGATATACGTACAGATATATATACAGAAGAGCTATATTTGCATATATTTTATCACTTTTTATTCTTATTTTTTATCTTTATTATATTGTATAGTTGGATGTGTGTATATATCATATAAAACTGTAACTGGAGCGTGTAACGAAAGTAATTTCCCTCTGGGATTATTAAAATATTTCTGATTCTGAAATATACGCCACTTGTATGTGATCCTGAAGTGTGGGATCACACTAATAAAACAAACATTCAACCATTATAAAGATCACACTCACTGTTTATTCCTCGATTCAAGAATTCTCAAATTTGTAGATTTGATCAATTTCAGAACTGCTCAAATTGTTTATAAAGCAAGAAATAACTTACTTCCTGCTAGAGGTGTAAATAATAATCGTTTTGTATCGATGCATCGATCCAACAGCCGACGATCCGATGCATCGATACGTCCGCAAGAGAATCGATTCATGTTTTTTTTCCTCCGGTCTATTTTTATCCATTCGCTCCTGGGCGTATTTCTCCTCCCGTGCTGCGGTGGCGCTAAACCTATTTTGCCCTCCTACCTCGCTTCCTGGTTATCCTCCTACAGCAGTGTGTTGTAGTGAGCTTGATGCAGACATTTTAGATTTATGCTCAGTATTGAAGCGTGGTCTGAGCTACACGCTGTGGGTCTAGATACGGCCGAGGCGGCGAGGAAGTGGGGGCGAGTTTAGTCCGACGACGGAGGGACATGAGGGCCAAAAAGAGCGGAGATCCATGTGGAAAAAGGGTCCCAGCGTTCTCACGCACCTCGCTCTTCTAGCGGGTCAAACTTCACGAGTTGTTTTCCGCAATTTCGGTCATAAAAACAAAACAAGCCGGCCTCCTGTCTGCGGTCAGCTACAATCTGGGAGAAGAGCAGCGGAGCGTCTGTGGAGGGGGGGGGACGTCTGGAGCCGAGGTATTGCATTGCACTCATTGCACTGATTTTCTGCAGTATTTTTTGATTTTTTTGCTGTTGCTTCTAAAAAAAAAATGCATAATGATATTACAGCTTTCATTGATTTATTTCAAACTTGAAACTTTATTTAGCCTGTAAGGTGTAAAAAAAAAAAATAATTAACTGATTAATCAATTAATCGAATCGAATCGCATCATGGTGTATTCTTGAGTATCGAAAATAATCGAATCGTTGGGTCAGGGAATCGATACTGAATAGAATCGCCATGATGGATGTGATTTACACCCCTACAACATTGTAAAAGCATCCAGCAATTCAAAAAAGAATATAAGAAAAGTATTTTTGATGAATACAAAAAAGAGTAATATATAAAAGGTGGTATACTGTAAATAATTGTCCTTTACCACCATGACACATGTAACTGAGGGCCTAATAAACTTATACTTCCTCCAACTCCTTTTTGAAACAAGATGCATGTTTATGAAGCATTCAATGTAAACATTGTTAAATCTAATCATGTTTCAAAATAAATGAAATGAAAAGTATAAATAATGATCCATTGATTAATTCCTTACTGACCGAACTTATCCTTTAAAACATGCAAATACTCAAGAATGATAAAAAGTTTTAGGAACAGAAGGTTTATTGCTCACTTTTCACATCAGTCTAATATGTGCAGCCAATACAGTGGGGAGAACAAGTATTTGATATACTGTTGATTTTTCAGGTTTTCCCACTTGCAAAGCTTGTAGAAGACTGTAATTTGTATCATAGGTACTCTTCAACTGTGAGTGATGGAATCTAAAACAAAAATCCAGAAAAATACAATGTATGATTTTTAAATAATTAATTTCCATTTTATTGTGTGAAATCAGTATTTGATACACCAGAACAATGAAACTTAATATTTGGTACAGAAACCTTTGTTTGCAATTACAAGAGATCAGACGTTTCCTGTAGTTCTTGACCAGGTTTGCACACACTGCAGCAGGGATTATGGCCCACTCCTCCGTACAGATCTCCTCCAGAGCCGTCAGGTTTCGGGTCTGTCGCTGGGCCACACGGACTTTAAGCTCCCTCTAAAGATTTTCTATTGGATTCAGGTCTGGAGACTGGCTAGGCCACTCCAGGACCTTAAGATCTTCCCTACGGAGCCACTCTTTAGTTGCCCTGGCTGTGTGTTTTGGGTCGTTATCATGCTGGAAGACCCAGCCACGACCCATCTTAAGTGCTCTTACTGAGGGAAGGAGGTTGTTGGCCAAAATCTCACGATACATGGCCCCATCCATCCTTCCCACAATATGGTGCAGTCGTCCTGTCCCCTTTGCAGAAAAGCATCCCCAAAGAATGATGTTTCCACCGCCATGCTTCACGGTTGGGATGGTGTTCTTGGGGTTGTACTCATCATTCTTCTTCCTCCAAACATGACGAGTGGAGTTTAAACCAAAAAGTTCTATTTTTGTCTCATCAGACCACATGACCTTCTCCCATTCCTCCTCTGGATCATTCAGATGGTCATTTGCAAACATCAGACGGGCTTTGACATGCCTTGGCTTGAGGAAGGGCGCCTTGCGTGCACTGCAGGATTTTAATCCTTGACGGCGTAGAGTGTTACTGATTGTTTTCTTTGAGACTGTGGTCCCAGCTCTATTCAGGTCATTGACCAGGTCCTGCCGTGTAGTTCTGGGCTCATTCCTCACCTTCCTCAAGATCAATGATGCTCCACGAGGTGAGATCTTGCACGGCGCCCCAGACCGAGGGAGATTTTCCGTTATTTTGTATTTCTTCCATTTTCTAATAATTGCACCAACTGTTGTTGCCTTCTCACCAAGCTGCTTGCCTATTGTCCTGTAGCCCATCCCAGCCTTGTGCAGGTCTACAGTTTTATCCCTGATGTCATTACACAGCTCTCTGGTATTGGGCATTGTTGAGATGCTGGAGTGTGATTGATTGAGTGTGTGGACAGGTGTCTTTTATGCAGGTA